GTAAACACACAGATGGAGGGAAGGACAGCGGCTGGATGGAGAGACGGGTGGATGGGAGAGCAAGAGACAGACAAACGTGGTAAAATGTCAATCTTTGGGGAAGAATCTGGCTGGAAAGGATACAGAGACTTTGTACTATTCTCGTAACTTTCCTGTAAGTCTAAAACTGTGTCAAAATAAAAAGTTAAAAGAAAAAAAAGCAGTCCCTAAAAATCTAAAGTGAAAAGAAACAAATGAACTCAACTGTGTATTGAGTTGATGATGCAGACACAAAGACGGAAAAGGCTCTTCCAGGTGACTTTAAAATACAGCAATTTAACTACATCCTGAGAGGGACAGACTCCGAGGACAGAGAACTAGAAACAAACATAAATTGTGGTAGTGCTGGTATTTTATTCTGAGACTGTTGCATGTGTTAGTGTGGGATAAAACAAATGAGTAACTGCTGGTGTTGTTCACTGAGAACCAGTATTTTCAGCACGAGAGAAAGATTCAGAGAAAAGTCTGATGAGGTTAACTCAAAACCTCATGGTTTGAGAGCAGGGACTTGGAGAGATATTTGTACACCCACATTCACAACAGCATTGTTCACAATAGCCAAAAGGTGGAAGCAACCCGTATGTCTATCAACACATGAATGGATAAGCAAAATGTGGTCTATACACACAATGGAATATTATTCAGCCTTAAAAAGGAAGGAAACCCTGGGGGCCGGCCCGATGGCCTAGTGGTTAAGTTCGGAGTGCTCTGCCTTGGCAGCCTGGGTTGGGTTTTGGGCACGGACCTACACCACTTGGCAGTGGCCATGCTGTGCCGGCGACTCACTCACAAAATAGAGGAAGACTGGCATAGACATTAACACTGGGTGAATCTTCCTCCACACAAAAAAAAAAAAAAAAAGGAAGGAAATGCTGTCACATGCTACAACATGGATGAACCTTGTGGACATGCTGCTAGTGAAATAAGGCAGACACAAAAGGACAAATACTGTGTGATTTCACTCATATGAGGTTCTTACAGTAGTCAAATCCTAGAGACAGAAAGTGGCATTCTGGTTACTGGCAGCTGAGGGAGAGAGGAATGGGGAGTTGTTATACAATGGATACAGAGTTTCAGATTTACAAGATGAAAAGAGTTATGGCGATCGATGATGGTGATGGCTGCACAACATTATGAATGCATTTAATACAGCTGAAATGTATACCTAAAAATGGTTAGGATGGTAAATTTTATGTTGGTAAGACTGTAAATTTAGGAAGAAAACAAAACCCCCATGGTCCCGGAAGTGAATCTGAATTATCTGGATGCACTCATGATGTCCTTGCTCTGCCCACTGAGAAGGTCTAGAAACAACGACCAGTAATGAGTAATCTGGAATCCTTGTTTAGTCTCTAATACCACTTTCCAACAAAATGAACCAGGAGAAATGGTTAACTCCAGGACAGGGGCAGGAAATGTTTAAGAGGAGCCTGGAAAATCTTGTCCCATGAAAAAGCAAGGAATTGCTCACGGGTGACCGGCTCACATCAAAAGGACTCAGAAGCAAACTTTAGGAGGCTCCCACAGCCCAGAGGGGGTCTATTTGAGCACCAATGAGACAATAACCACAGAGATTAAGCCATGTCAAACACGTTTACATCCACGGTCTCACAATGACAGCAAAACAAAAATCCATAAAAAGCCCAACACCCTCACTGGTCACCTCTGGAGGATGTTCTAAGTAGAGAATCAACCCATTATTGTGAAAACTGGAAAATAAAGGGGAAAAAGTCAAGCATGTATCCTGCCTTTCCTACGTGAACTATCCCTCAAAGCAACCAAATACTTAGGTTTTCAGAAATCCGTCAGTTAATAAATGGAGGGAGAACAGCAGAAGTCAAAAGTTACCATTTTGCAACGTTGAAGGAGATGATGGATGGAAGCCATAATGAGCGAGCTCTTGACACTGAAGAAAGAAACCGCCTCAGGCAAGTACACGCCACCATCGAGGAAGAAGTCCTCAAAAAGATCACCCGATCCCATCACCACAGAGGGAGGGGACACGTCAGGTCACGTGTTGAGTCCACGGGGATGCCCTGAGCAAGGTCCAGTGGAGACCCACCCAGCCCTCAGCAAAGGGCAAAAAGAGACGTAGAGAGAACCACAGACGAAGAGACGGAAGAGGTACACTAGCCAGTCACAACGTATGGACCTTGTTTGTTGATTCAAAGAGAGCTGCAAAAAATTATGAGACAACTGGGGAAATTTAAGCTTCAGTTGGCTATCTGATAATACTAGGAAAACTGTTGATTTTTTTAGTTGTGATATTGGACCCATGGCTTTCGTTTTGAAAACATAATGAGCTACCTACAAACTATTTACAGATGAAAAGATAGGATGCTGGCTGGGATTTGCTTCAAAAGACCTGGGGAAAAGGGGCTGTAGATGGGGGTGCAGAAGAAACCAGCCTGGCCGTGAGCGGATTCTCGTAGAAACTGATGGTGGGTGCGGGAGGGCTCGTCACACCATTTGTTCTATTTCTGCATCTATTTGACTTTTCCCATAATTAAAAAAGAATGGCCATGGGCCAGCCCCGTGACTTAGCGGTTAAGTGCGCGCGCTCCATTACTGGTGGCCCGGGGTTCGGATCCCGGGTGCGCACTGACGCACCGCTTCTCTGGCCATGCTGAGCTGTGTCCCACATACAGCAACTAGAAGGATGTGCAACTATGACATACAACTATCTACTGGGGGGCGTTGGGGAAAAAAAAAAAAAAGGAGGAGGATTGGCAATGGATGTTAGCTCAGAGCCGGTCTTCCTCAGCAAAAACAGAAGGATTAGCATGGATGTTAGCTCAGGGCTGATCTTTAGTCACAAAAAAATAAAAAAGAATGCCCATAACTGCCACCCCATGGCTGTCAAAGTACAACTCGACACTTTCACAACACGAGCTACCCAGGAATAAAATGAGATGCTCGCTCCTTTGGCAAAACACCAAGGACAGACCATGAGGACTGGTCCAAGGACACCAGCAATGCCGTCTGTGGCCAGGTGGCCTCTCTTTCTCTTTTCAACACAGATCCAGTTGGCCCCAGAGAGGCGTTGCTGTGGGTTCCGCTGTACTGCCCGCCCGTCTCCCTGATGGACACTCGCTCCCTGCCCACCCCTGCCTGGTAACCCCTTCTCCTGGAGGCCTCCCTGCTGCCCCTCCCCAGCCAGGGGGCTCCCCTGTTAGATGCTCTCGCTGACCCTTCCCCTTTCATTGAGAGCACTCGTCTCTGCTGGTTGATCGAGCTCCACGAAACCATCAACATTCAGCCACTTGACCCAGAAAAGGCAGTTTCCCAAGGATCCACCTGCTGATGCAGTGGTATCCTTGCAGCTGATGCCTCGAGCAGGGTCTGTCCACCTCTGCTGCTCGGGGCCGCCCAGAACAGCCTCCACACGCAGGCCCCCAATCAGTACTGGCCAAGCAACCCAGTGAGAGCAAGCCCCCGCAGAGGGACAGCCTGCCCTCCATTCACATAGAGCCTCCCTGTCAGGCACCGGGCCAGGACCTAAGCAGGCAGGCAGTCCCCGACAGACCCAGCCTGACCCTGCCTGCCTGAGCCAGTTTGGCAACAGTCTCAGACTCGTGGGGAGACCGACTCACTCAACAGCACTATCCTCAAAACCACTGGTGCTTAGAGCCTTCGGGAGAGAGACACACACAGCCGAACACACACGGAGTTACCTACCCTGTACCCACACACATATGTGCCAAGGGGAGTGCTCACCAGGAAGAAGGGTTTTGAGGGAAGACGGGGCTCAGCACCTGGGAGGCAGGACGGTGTGCAGAAATGCAGCCAGAGCCACGTCGCCCACTTCTCTGGAGAAGAGGGCAGGGCCAGCCCCCAAGGCCTCCTGCTGTGGCTCAGACAGCCTGCCCTCATTTGCAGGCAAGGGGCTCTGCGTGGCTGCAGAGCTGGGGTACCCATGGCTAGAGTTCAGGCAACACTTAGTGCATGTACAAAGGGAGATAGAGGACAGAAGCAGGGAGACGATTCAGATGGGGACACGGAGAGGGTGGGTGCCCGGGGGCAAGCAAAGATGCCGGCTGCTTGCTCCCAAGCATCAGAGGACACCCCAGCCGAGCATGACACCCGAATGGAGGTGACCTGCCCATGGGCCCTTTCTCCCTCCTCCGAGGGCAGCTCTGCACGGCTCGGACGTGACTGGCTCTGGGCATGCAGGGGTGAAACTGCTTCCTCCTCCGCGTGTATTTTTCCTAATAGCGTCTCCTGCACCCTAGCGCCACCTGTGACAACGCCGTGTCATGCAGTGGGGCCCCATGCGTGGTCTTTGGGGCTAGTTGGCCTGGTTTAAGCCCCTTACTAGTCAGAGGGCTTCAACTAACGGGAGGGTCACTTTTCTTAACCCTCCATGCCTCAGTTTCCTCATCTGTACAGCAGGAAGGACACAGCGGTGGTGAGAGGATCAGAGGCAAAACATCAAATGAGACAACATCTGTAAGGAACCCTTCAAGCCCTTCTGGAACCATCTCTATTACTATCACTACCCCAGAGGCCAAAACCCCCAGCGGCAGGCAACGTATGGTTCCCAGATACGGACGCGTGCAGCCACGGGATAAACGATGAAACCCCCGCTCTCCCTCCCAACTTGATGCGTAAACTAAAGAGAACAAATAAAAAATCTGTCGGAAATGCAATGCACCAGATTCACTAAAATATCAGAATTTCCAGGGAACATTTTATTCCTTCTCCCGTGACACCCTCCTTTACCCCAGAGGATGAAGACATCGTAGCCGTGCAAACCAGAGCACTGGACTTAGTGGAGCAGCGGAGGGAGATTCAGACTCAGGAGGCAAAAGGCCATGTGGGGATGTCCACACGGGGCCACGCCTGTCCCCACAAGTCTAGTGACAGCTATCATGGGTCTTCACCAGCCCAAGCACCCAGGTGCACTTCTGCAAGACAGTGTCCCGTCTGCCCCTCCCCCCCACCCCCTGCCTGGTACTCACGTAAGAAGTGCTTTTCCAATAGGGCGATTTCCAGGTGGCCTTTGATCTCATTTAGTCGATCAAACTCTGTCCGGCTAAAGTCCTGGACTCCTGCAGCCATGATGAGGGTCCCTGGACCAGCCTAGAAGAAAAACACCAAGGGCTCAGATGATCCAACTCGAAGCATCCCGTGTCCGCATTAGCCAGTTCTCTAAGGGGTACCCCGAGGACCCCACGTCTGGAGGGGCTGGGCCACGGAGCCCCCAGCCGGCCAGAGGCCCAGCGGACAAGGATGGGCTCGTTGTGCCTTAAAACCCGCATCAGGTCACCTCAGCTTCGCCTGCCGAAGGAAGGGACATCTCAGACGATGTGAATATCCTCGGAGCCCCGGGGAGGCTGACTTTTAGAAATAATGAAGAAAATTAAAACCTGAAGCGTGAAACTAACTCCTGATGGTCACAATGCCACTCTCAAGCTGCAGGGGGAAGGAAACCATCGAAACCTGCGCTGGCCAGCACGGCACCCTTGGCGGGGGGGGGCGGCCACAGGACCTGTCACCCTCACCTCCCGGGAGCTGGGCTGGCGCCCCAGGAGCCACAATGATAGGACTCCAGGGAAATGAGGGGAGGGCACATCCACAGCCTGGCTGCATGAACCTGAGAGGACAAGGGCTCCCCAAATTGTGTAAAGCCCAAACAGGGGGCCTCGTCCCACAGAGGGCTAATTAAAACCACTGCCCACCATCCCAACAGACAAAGGCAGGCTCTGGTTATAGGCAACCCCTGCCCGCTGCCGGACCCACGGGCTTGGCACAGGTGGCCACTTTGAGTCCTGCTGACTGGAGGGAAAGGACTACAGTGCATGCCAGCACAGCCAGGCCTGCCCGGGGTGCACTGAGGGTCGTTCGGCTCAAACACCGGACACTTCTATGGTCACCCCCACAACTGCACCCTGCCGCTGACCTGGAGAGGAGCCGCACCCGTGTGCCCTGCCCTGCAACAGGGGGACCTGACTCCCCAGTCCTGGTCTCCATGACCCCCTCCAGGCTGGGCGAGGGTGGAAGGGGATACGCAGCCTGGACAGGGGCAGCCCCAGTGACCACTCCATACACACGTGTCACCTGCTCTGAGGCCACAGCCCTGGAAGGAGCCAACATCGGGGAATCCTGATGGGTTCTGGTAAGACTCTCTTGCCTGTGGCTGCCCTGTCCTGGCACTAGACCTCTGGGACTTTCAGCTGCTCCAGCTGCTGGGGCAGGAGTTCCCAGAGGGCAGGGACCAGGCCATGTTTACCTGCTGCCCCATCGGGCCTGGCAGGGGTGGACACGGGGAGACTGGGGGAGTGGGGTGGAAAGCAGGGTAATTCCACCTGCCCTGCCATGGGGAAAACAGCGCAAGTTTGCCCACTCACCCCTGCAATGAATTTGTCCCTCCCCTGCCCATCCCCCACCTCGATGGCCAAGGCAGTGGCCACACAGCAGAGGGCAGAGGCCAGCCCGGAAAGGCAACTCTGTGCTGATTCAGAGGCAGAACACTGGACTCCGTTATGTCCAGCAACCTCCCCACCAAAAGCTAGCAGGTGGTACCCCAGTTTACGGGGCCACGTACGAACACATTAATCCACGTCCTCGGATGGCTGTAATTCCTGTCAGTTTCTAAGTCGCTGAATTAAGCTCATCTGGACCTTGCCCAGAGCTTTAAGAACCCCTACAGAGGCCCCCAGGCCCAAGAGGACCCTCAGGTTTCCGTCAGACTCAGGGCTGAAGGTGCAGCAGGTCAGCTGGGAGCCCCCCGGATGGCAGGGACGGTGAGGACCAGCTCCGGGGAGCTGGTGTTCTGAAATTCTGGGGTCGAGCCCCCTGGGTCCTTCCAGCTGACCCCTTCTGAGACCTCCCAAGAGCAACACTGAGGTGGGGGTCAGGAGCCTGGACTTGGGACTCGGTGGGCTTGCTCATCACTATAAAACTGAGAGGTGGGCCCAGCCACTTCTCCTTCCAGCTTCCCTAGAACCGCGTCCTCCAACCCCGCCTACCAGGCTCTCCTGCAGCCCCTCAAGGGAGGGCATCCACTTCCTCCTCCTGCTCCTCAAGGCCTTTGCCCTTCTGCCTCCTCTCATGTGGGGTCACTCCAGATGCTGCCCCCAACTCTACGACTCTGGTCCTCTCCTCCTCACCACCTCTGCTTACTAGCCTGTCACCGACCACTCTGGTCAATCCTGGCCTTGGTCTCCCCGTCTTTATCTTCAACGGCCTTCCCCCTCCCCGGCCACACCCTGACCCTGGACATCACCCTCCCCCCACACTCCCCACCTCTTGGGCCCCCTCCAGCCCATCTGCCAGCCCAGGACCCCTCCCTTGCCCCCTACCCTGCCTCCCTCACCTCCCCTCCCAATGAGGTCTGGATTCTACCCTCAAACCCTCAGTCCACTCACCTCCTTTGCCCAGGACACAGACAGACAGTCCACAAAACAGGAAGTCAGAATGAACTCTGACACGCTACAGCGTGGATGAGCCTTGAGGACACTGTGCTGAGTGAAACAGCCAGTCTCAACAGGGCAAGATACTGTGTGATTCACTCATAACATGAGGTCCCTAGGAGTCAAATCCACAGACAGGAAGTAGGATGGTGGGTGCCAGGGGCTGGGGGAGGGCGATGGGGAGTCAGTGTCTAATGTGGGACACAGTTTCAGTTTGGAAATATTTAGATAGATGGTGGTGATGGTTATACAACAATGTGAGTGGACTTAATGCCACTGAACTGTACACCCAAAAATGGTTAAGATGGTCAATTTTATGTGTATTTCACCACAATAAAAAAATAAATAAAAAGAATGAAGCCTAAACACATGCAAAGATGACCAACCTCCCTCATAACAAAAGCCATGTAAATTAAAACCACTCAGACTAACTCTGGACCCATCAGGTTAGCGAAACAGAGAAACTTCAGGACACCCTGTGCCGGTGGCAAGGCCGTGGGACACGGGCCCTCTCAGGGCAGCTGTGGAAGAAAAACAGTGCACCCTCAGGAGGGTGACCTGGTGACAGCCACCAGGATGATAGATGCCATCGGCCCAGCACACCCACCTGGGGGTGACACAGGCCAGGTGGGCATGCGACTCATAGGACTGATGGATGCTGTGAACCTGGAGGCCGCGAGTGTCCCTCAGCGGGGAGAGGTCAAATGAAACGTTTATTTACACAGCCCCTGTGCTCGCCACACTCTCGATCCTCCCCGCAGCCCTCGCTGGGTCAGCTGGTCTCACCCTCCCAGGGAGCACTGCGCTCTTCCTACAACTGGGCCTGCGACCTCCACTTGCTACAGGCAGGTGCTGCCAGACTGTGGGACTGGCCCATGGCCCCGAAGCTGGTAAGTGAACGAATAAGGATCTGACCCAGGTGGGCGGGCCCTGCAGACCCTCTGTACTGTGACTACACCCCCTCGCCAGACGCGCGCGCACGCGCGCGCACACACACTGGAAGGCCATGCCCCAGGTCAAGTCTGAGTCTCTACTGAGACAACGCCTGGGGCAAGGTGGCTGCACTGAGCCCTGGCTGGACAGGCAGAGAGAGCATGAAATCAGGAAGAGTCGGCTGTGGCCTCTGTGCAGGACCCCCATCACACACTCACTCACACACATCATCTTGCTCCTGAGAGGCCCACCACATGCGCGGCCCAAAAACCACCATCTGAGAGTCCTAGCCCACAGCCCCAAGGCTGGTGCCAGCCCCGACAGGGAAGACACCGCTTTCCCTGCAAGACAAGCCCGTGTCACTCTGAAACATAACCTAGAGGACACACCAAGCGGGGCCCTGGCCCACCCTTGGGCCCAGCGGGTCTGCCGGGGGACAGAGGCAAGTGCCCTGGAAGCCGAGAAGCCCCACCTGACCGGGCAGCCCAGGGGAGCAGCCTGGCTCCTAGGAGGCAGTGCCAGTAAATGATTCATTCCTGCCAGGAGCAATCGCGCAGTGCCTGCTCTATTATAAAGCATTAATAATACAAGGAGCCAGGAAGGCGAGCACTCACACGCCACATCTGGAAAGAAAACCTGGCTCGGGTGTTTGGACAGGAAACAACGGGCCACCAAATGCAGTGTCCACACCACGGGTCATCCACAACTTGCGCGAGATGGCTCTGGGCTCTGGCAGGGCCCACAACGGTGAGCCCAGTGACCACACCTGGTCAGAAAGGGGGCCCCAGACAGACCGCCCCACCCTCACTGCATCCCTGCCGCTTCCCCCACGATGAAACACAAGCTTCCACAAGGCAGGGCCACTTGTGCCTGGTTCCCACTGGAGCCACGGTGCCTGGCTGAGGTGCTCGGCAGATATTTACTCCCCCATGAAGAGCACCCCACTGACTGGCCCACAGGGGCCACTGTCCCCATGTGGGCTGATGAGGGCCCAACCTGGGCTCAGCCAGCTGCCGGGTGTCAGTGACAAGTACTCTAGCACGGCCAGGAAGACCAGCCAGGCACCCGAGGGTAGCTAGCCAGGGGCCAGCAGCTTCCAGACAGTACCCTGCCTCCCCCCAACATGTCAATACTCCCAGGGGTCAGGCTGGGGCCTCAGCATCTCTTCTGTGAGAGAAATTCGCCAACCACCAGAAAACCAAGGAGGAAGGAAAAGAAATCTAGCAGTTGGACAAACCCACGGTAAAGGAAAGGCTGTTTTATCCTCGATCGGCGATGAGTACCCCCAGTGAGGTCTGGGGGGGCAGGAGAGAGGGGAGCAAGACAAGGACAGAGGGGGAAGCAAGCCCCGCTTGTCTCTAACCAGCCCAGATAGAACATTGTCTACCCAAGTCCACACTTAGCTTGGCCACCTAAGGATGGGGAACAGCCCCAGCCCCACCCCAAGGGACCCAGGGTCCAAGACCAGGCCAGGGAGGAGGGCATCCCTGGTCCCAGGAGGCCGCACGTGTACTCACAGGGTCCCGCAGCTCCTCGCTCTCCCGGGGCGAGGTCCGAGGTATTTTCAGGGGTATTTCATCTCCACATTCAGTGTCCGAGGCATTTGGAGACTCTGCTAGATCGAGGAAGTCATCTCTCTTGTGACCTCTGAACCTGATTTTGTCCAGCCTCCTTAGCATGTTCAGCACTGAGCCCCTCTGCTTTACCTTAACATGACGGTCGGGGTCCCTGCAAGAGGAGAGAGGAGGAGCACTGTCACTTGCTCACTCGCCCACTGGCCACCGGCCCCGCACGGTGCTCCCGCCAGCCTCAAGCACGCGGTCCTCCTGCACACGGCTCCAGGCCCCAAGCCCTGGGCTGTGACCAAGCCCCACCCTCAGGGAGCAGCCAGTACCGCTTTCCAAGGAAGACCTGGGGCCCAGAGGCTCCCATCTTGCACCCACCAGGCCAGACCCCTCTGTCACCCCCTCCCGGCCAGGCGGACAGCCGAGCTTCTGCCACTGCCACCCACCAAAGCCGGCCCCACGTGCCCCCATGGGCCAGAAGGAAGCCAAGTCTCTCAGCAGGACCTTCCCGGCCATAAAGACAGGGCTAGTCTGTAGCACCAGGGCAGCTGGAGACCCAGGGGAAGGCAGGGGAGGGACGCTGCGAGGCCCAGGGGAGGAGGGCTGACCACTCCTCAGAAGTTCTCCTGACAAACCATCGAGAACGTGGTCACAGCTGCGGCTACGTGCACTCCCCAGGACAGCAGCAAATGCCCGGAAACTGCCAGAACACTCGGCAATGGGGCATCTCAGCGGATTCCCTCTGGACCGGGTGGGGCCCTCGCCTCATGTCCCCTCGCTCCACCTGGCCCCCACTCCCAGGGACACGGTCCAGGCTGCCCCGTCTGCTTGAAACACCTCCCTGCTGGCCTGGGCAGCCCCAGCTCGGCTTCAAGACACGGCTCAGGCCTCACTCGCTCTGAGAGGTCTTCGCACACATGGGCTGGTCAGGACCCTGGTGCTCGCCCACCTGCTTCCCCGGCACAGCCCCAGACTGTGGGCACTGTGGGCTGCTTGCCTGCCCCCCTCCAGCCTGGAGCGATCACAGCAGAGGCCTGGGGTGGGGTCTCACTGAGGGCAGCCGCCGTGTGCTCGCATGGATGACATGGGTAAGTTCACACACGTGTCCACACCAGCGACGCGTGTGCCGTAGGGTGCCCACTCACCACATCTCTGCCCCATCTTTAGCCAGGAAAGCCAAGGCAACCCCCCAAGACGCCAGGGGGCAGGGTGTGAGCGGCCCTTCTGCCTCACTCCGAAGCCGCCCCAGGCCCATCCCTAGTCCAGGTCACACAGCTCCTTGGCCCGGGGCTACGGGTCAGGGACCTCCCACAAACCCCAGCCTCCCAACTCCTGCAAGAGGCCCTGGGTCCCTGCAGAAGGGTGGGGACTCTGGATACACCTGGGCTCAAGGCCCGGTCTGCTGCTTACCACCTTTCTGAGCCTTGGCTTCCATCTCTGAAGTGGCAATAATACCAGTAAGGCGAAAGCATCCTGAGAATTCCAGATGACGCATATTGCGCGCCTGACACTTGGTCTGGACCCAATAAACAGTACAAGTATTTCCACGCAAGGCAGGCAGGAAGAGGGGAGAGCAGGATGGAATCCATCAACTTGGCCCTGACCGCCCCAGTTGGGATCTCTCATGCAGAACCACAGAGGGAGGGAGAAGCACTTCCTGTTTCGGACCGTGCAGGCGCAGAGGACCGTCAAGTCACAGCCTGGGGTGTGCCTGTCTGCAGCCCTGACACGCCTGCCCCTGCCCTCCAAGGGCCCTCTGCTCCCCCGGCATCACTGCACACAGCAACAAAATGTGCTAACAGGTGGGCTCCCAAGACCCCAGTCAGAATGTACCAGAACTCGCCCTGGTCTAGAGGACAGTTGAGGTGTGTAGCATGTTATGGGAGGGGCTGTGGGTGCTCTAGGGACAGGCACTTCTCCGGGCTCGGTCGGAACACTGCAAGGTGGCCTGACGTGGCCGTGTGCAAAAACCACAGGAAACCCAGCGCCCAAGGCCCCCTGGAACCCGGGAGAGCCCAGAAGCGCACAGGCTGTGGGGCTGGGGAGGCAGGGGCACACGGCTGGCCATCTGCAAAAGTATCTGGGTATAGGAACTGTGAACTTCAGATGGACGAAAAGGTTAAGAAAACTTAAAAAAAATACAAACCAAAAGACAAGAGACCTTAGTGCTTATCAAGTCCCTGGAGAGAGGGTAATGGTCAATGTTAAAAGACTGAAAAAATAATCAGAAAGTAAAAACAGTCTGTCAGTCACTGGACAAAGTAAACTCCCATTTGTTAAAAAATGAAACGGGGCGGTGGCGTAGCGGTTAAGTGTGCGTGCTCCGCTTTGGCAGCCCAGAGTTCGCAGGTTCGGGTCCCGGGTGTGGACCTTCGCACCGCTTATCAGGCCATGCTGTGGGCAGGCGTCCCATATAAAGTAGAGGAAGATGGGCACAGATGTTAGCTCAGGGCTAATCTTCCTCACCAAAAAAAAAGAAAAGAAAAAGAAAGAAACGGGATATGTGTATATATGTGGTATATGAAGGATTAACATATTTGTTATAAGATGGCTTGAATAAATCCATAAAAATTACAGGACCTTGGTACAGATGAGCAAACTCCCTGAGCGAGGAGTTCCAGAAAGAGGAAATTCACCCAGCACTCGTTCAAAAACCTCCCACTTCACTAAAAAGGAAACAAGCTAACCGATGCAGCAGAAGGCTGCAGGACCTGTGAACACATGCCCTCTGAGCCAGCGATCCTGCCTCCTGGGATACATCCTGGGAGCAAATCCGCCACGTGGAGAACTTCTCGCCCCGACAGCAGCACCCGAAATCCCCCGCCTGTCCCCCAATATGGGGCAGGGTAGCGAGCCCTGGAACACCATGCTGGACTCATGCGGGACGCCGGTCCTGGAGTGAGAGGCAATTACAAGACGCGGCTGCCCCGAGGTCAATGTTATGGTAAACAGGTGACTAAAAAGACCAAAGGAAACGCAGGGCCCTTCATCAGGCTGTAGGCTCATGGGTGGTTTGTAAGACTTCTCTCTCCAGGTGTCCTATAACACTTTCCTATTACTTTTTGAATTAAAAAATAAAAGATAAACCAGGTAGGTGAAATGCAATAATGTAAAACCTACTTCCTTTCATTTTTAAAAAGGCCCATGGGATTCCTCGTCACCTAGCATCAGACAAAGCGAGGTGGAGGGGACAGGCCAGCCAGCACTGAGGCGCGGAACCCTGGAGCAGAAGACACCTGGCCGACTTCCCCCAGAGGAAAGCGGTCAAGGGCTGCTCTCGCACCAGCCGGCTCTTTGCTCCCTGCAGGGCTTGGTTAGGCGGGTTCTCGCTGTCTGGGATTCTCACATGTCTGAGGCCGCCTTCTTCCCAGTTAAGCTCCAGCAAGCAAATGAGGTGGCCGCATGGGGAGAGGGGACAAAGCGCCGAGTGTCCAGCCCGCCACCATCAGAATGCAACTCACACCTGGCCACAGTGCCCGGCACTGGGCCGACAGACACTCTACTACCCAATGGGGCCCGATCTTCCTGCCACCAGCTCACCCCAACCCCGGCTCCTCCTGCTCAGTTACTCACATCTGCCCACAGCAAGGGGGTCCAAACACACAGCCCACCTAGCGAAGGACTCCCAGAGGGCCCGTTCCCGTCCCCACTACCCTGCTCCCCTAGACTCCTTGGGCTCCTTAAAAGGATGCACGGCTCATGCTGCTGTCAGATCAGGACCCGATGCCACAGCATCCCAACCACCCCACCCAGGGATGGGTCCAGGCTGTGAGGGAAGCCCGCCACATCACATCCCTACTCTGGGCTGAGGAGTGGCCCACCCTACCCCAGGCCAACCGCATCTCAATTACATCTGCAAAGTCTCTATTTCCAAGTAGGCTTACGGGTGGGCACGAATCTGGGGAGGACACCGTTCCACTCGGTACACCCCCCAACCCTTTTCAGATGAAAACGGAGGACCGACACGGATAGGGAGAGGAGGGCCGGATCTCAGATGCCAAGTGTGACAGAGCAAAGCTTCCCCACAAAGCCAATGTCAAGTAGATGCCATCTTGACAGGTCTCACCTGCACCTCCCGTTCTGGTGGATGCTGCCATGTGTCCCCCCACCCCCAGCCCCTGTCTAGCCCTCCCTTTATCCAGCCAGCCCCCACTCCCTGCATGCCCATCCTTCACCCCCACAGCCCGTGGGGAGGAAGCCTACATCCTCCTCAGACACCCTCCCCGGAACCTGCGCCTCCGCGCGCACCCACAGGCCACCCTGGGCAGTGAAGGGCTCTCGGCAGCTCCCTGCACACCCACCCATCAAGGTGGAGCAGCCGCTCAGAGGGGGACCTGCTGCCCCCGCCCCCGCAGCCCTCGGAGGGGACACGCTCCCTGTACCTCCACGTGGAAGAGGATGTGCTGGGAAACTCCCTGGCTGTGGCTATTCCAGATCCCCGCTCAGAGCCAGGGCGTCCTGCAAGGAACCTGTAACCATGTGCCACAGAGAGCAGGCGAGACAGGGATAAGCAGGGTGTGGGGGCACCCTGGTGCTGTGGCCGGAGTCAGTGGGCTCCCTGAGCTCAAGGCAGCGCCCACCGGGCTCCGCGCCCTCTGCGCGCAGGACTGAGTCCAGCAGAGCTGGCCCCGAGACACAAAGCACGCCGCTCTGGAAACCCGCTGAATGGCTTCTGGACACACAAAGGCAGCAGTGTTTAGGGAACACTGGACTTGGAAACCACAAAGGACTTTATTTTCCTTCCCAGCCCACGATTTAAAAAAAGCAGTGGTTCCTGGTCTCTGGTGCTCGCCATGTCCCAGCCGCTTTCCCTCGATGCACGGCCCACACCGCTCCCCGGCTGAGCTCCCATCTGCATTCATTCAGACAGCCCGCTCAGCCGGGGCCTGGCTTTAGCTCCTGGTTATCTGGTGGGTCTCCCACTGATCCTGGGATAAACAATGTCCCTTTTCCCACAGGAAGCAACACTCATCCTAGACCATATTCCCGGGGAGTCACAGATGTTGAGCGAGAACTGAGCGCCTCCCTCCATCCCACCCCAAGCTGGCCCCAGCCGGCCGCCCGGCCCTCTGCCAGGTCTGTGTCCTCTGGGAAGACAGCCCCAAAGCCCACGGTTGGAGCAGCCTGGGATGGCAGCTGCAGATTCCACAGCTTTGCAGGGGG